TTTATTTCATAGAGGGTAGAGCAGGCATAAATGAAAAAAGGAAATTGAAACAAAAACATGAAATGAATTGCGCAGATGAACACAGAAAACACCCCCAGTGTCAGCTCAGACAGGCCTCAGCTTCCCCAAAGGTTTCTAGCTTTCAAAGAGCACCTGCCTCTGAGGCAGCTTTGGGAGGTGCAGCAGAGATGAACAGCTGGGCGTCCTCCAGAGCTCTCATCCTCCCATGTGGAAAGACTAAGGGACCATAAGCACGGGCCAGCTGAGGTGCCCGCCTGTAACAGGCCCTCAGGGGGACTGCAGCTGGAGGCTTCATGGTCCACAGTGGGATGCCATGCTAGTGGGTGATATTCCTCAAAAGAAAATGCAAGAAGGGAACTGGAGAAAAGAACCTTTTTAAAATCCTGACTTCTCTAGAATCATTCAACTTATTGTTTTCTCATCATTGAATTATATTTTATTCTTTCCAGAGAACATAATTTGTGTACAAGTTTTTAAATTACAGACCTTAAAACTTCACGTCAGAACACTACACACATGCCCAGAAACACCCTGGATTTAAGAAAACTAAAGAAATTAATAATGACATTAATAACAGTATGCCTTGTCAGGAGAACAGGCACTAGAGTATAAAGATTTTCAGATGGTTCTCATAAACTTTAATAAATGAGCTACCACATACTGTGCACAGTAAATGAGCTTTAATCAAGAAGTGAACTTCTACCTATTCCTTCAGCCTCAGTAGAGCAACAAGAAGAAAAACCCTGGGACCTGCAACAGGCCTCAGTACGGAAATAGGGCCCTCAAGCCAGAGATCAGGCCGTTCCCTGTGAACTAATGTCTAATACGGAAATAGAACGCTGGGCGCGGAAGCACCGGGCACACGTGGACACTAGTCTGTGGCAGGGCCCTTACCTGAGAGCTGCAGCGTCTGTGCCAGGTGGCAGTCATTGTTACAAATGTTTATGATGAAAACTTGGCTCGCCTGGGGCCCTTTCCGGATGACCCCGTCAATCAAAGCTCGGGCCTTGTCCATCACTGTAGCATTTTCGTCTCTAACTTTCTCCATCTCTTCCTGGTTCAGGACCCTTTTCTCCAGTAATTCATCCAGCAAGCCATTTATGGTACCTGTGCCCACCGATTGGATAAACTGCCTCCTCTTCTCTCTCAGGACCTTGTCTGTTTGGAGCATAAAACCTTCTCAGTTCATGGAAACAGCCTCATTTTCCTCTCATGATTTCAACAGGGAGTGGCCTTCTTGGGATTTCAGCAGTGAAGTGTCCCTCTCCACCCAGTGGGGCAATCCCTTCTCTTACTCTATCACTGTCCCACTGTTCCCTCAGTGTTAGCCATGTAGGTTCCAGGGGTGGCCTGAAGACAGAATTGCTGTCTCCAAGTCAGTCAGAGATTATTGTTTTGTGTACCATGTTTATTCAAGTTTGAGTAATAAAATAATAAAACTGTGTTTGCCCAGTTCCTGTGGGGACAGTAGCTGTTGGTCGTCACCCTGTGCTGATTCTGCCACTTCTGTCCCACGTACAACCCTGAAGAGTGTGGTTAAAGCTGCAAAATGACAGCAGGGTCGAGAACAGCCACAGTTCCTTCCTGGCCTGGCCGCTCCTCTCTAAAGGCTGGGAGAGCCTTCTGGGCCTCCTCCCTCCTTCTCTTCCCTCCCCCTCAGTTCTGCTCACCTAAATCTCTGAGAACCTAATTATGGCTTCTAGAAGACCTGGCTCCTTCTAAAACGATTTCTTCCCACAGACCATTCCTTTTAACAGTGGAAAACTCACCGGCCATGGCCTTCTCCTTCTCCGAGGCTTGTTGTGGGGAGTGAAATTGAAAGTATGTTGTGGCTTCCTTACTAGCAGGGGCGGGTGCGCATACAGAAATGACTCGGGCACATGCATATGCACGTCCTAGGCAGGGAGGTTTTTTTTTTTAATTTTTGCCCCAGAGAAGTAATCAGAGGGCTGTACTGAAATGTAGACTGCATGCGAGGATGTGTCCCTAGAAAATTACCTTCCCTCTCATTTGGAACAGGTCAGGTAAGAGGATGTTGGGTTTTGAGAGTAAGATAGGAATGATAAAATAGGTATACAACTGAAGTCCCAGGATAAACGGGCTCCCATTTATTGGGAAGCAGGATTGGGAAAAGTAACTGCTTTGGAGAAGATGAGCCACTGTTTCTTCTGCCCTACCCTCCAAATCCGGGGACAGTCCCAGGAACTGCATGACCCCAGGAAGCAGCTTTGTTTTTTAGGAATGGAAATAATTTTTATCAAAATCGAATATCTTCTTAACCAGGCTTTCTTTCCAGATGTCTTGCTTTTGTGTGACATTGAGTAATTGGAAGTAAAAGTGCAGACGGTGGACTCACAAGGCAGGGTTTGGCATTTTAACTTTTTCTTTGTGGGTAAGACATTAAGCTTTTCCAGGCATTGGGTCCTCTGTCTATAAAATAATTTCACTAATGGTACATACCTATCCTCAAACTCTGGGAGGCCAAGGCGGGTGGAGTGCCTGAGCTCAAGAGTTTGAGACCAGCCTTAGCAAGAGTGAGACCGTCTTTAAAAAAAATAAAAGCTGGGCATTGTAACAGGCACCTGTACTCCTGGCTACTTGGGAGGCTGAGGCAAGAGAATCACTTAAGCCCACAAGTTTGAGGTTGCTGTGAGCTATGACACCATGACACTCCACTGACAGTGACAAAGTGAGACTCTGTCTCAAAAAAATAAAATAGTGTATACCTACATGGTTCTAAACATTCAGTGAGTAAAAATATGGAAACTGAATAGGACACTGCTTAGCACACGGTGAACACATGATAAACTATATAATTATTTTCAACATAAATATTTCACACTAGAAAAGTAAACAAAGTTAAGGATTTACAGATTATCTAGTGAAGTTTATCTTTTGAAATAATCTTCAGGCATCTCATACAGTCATTCATTTAGCAAATACATAAGGATGACTACTCCACATCAGACACTGTTCTAGGTGCCTGGGGAGGGGGGATTCAGTCAAAAGAGACCAGGGTACCTGGCACCAGGGCCTCACATTCAAGAGGGAAAGATGAACAGGTAGCCCAACACGCAGCTGGCACATTCAGAGTGTGGAGTGTGCTAAAAAGAACAACAAATCAATTAGGGGGGTGGTTAATGAAATGTGGAGGACTCCTTAAAACTTTAGGCAGAGGAGTCAGGGAAGGCCCAAGCCAGTCACTGAGTTTTGTAAGCACTTAATTGACTATTTCAGAAATAAACTCAATATGACCAATTTATTTTGTGTGTGTGTGTGTGTGTGTATAGGTATAGATATGTATTTGTGTAAATATATATGTACTACAAACATATTTTGTATACATATAAATACATATGTATGTATAATACATATATAATATATATGTGTGTGTGTATATATATATATATATTTAATGGGAGATTACCTAGAAACAAAATGCCAATAGTTCTTCACAGTTATCATTTCTTTACCAAAAATACAGTGAGGATTATCACCTTATTATCCTAAGAGAACAAGGACCTAGAATTACTAAAAGTTCCAATTATGCCTCAGTGTATGTCTGTGTGTCTTCATTTGTTTGCAGACTCTTAAATGTAAGTGAATACACAGGATATGTCTAAATTAAACATTGATGGCTGGATTACTATCGCTTTAAAGTCTGTGCAATTCAAAACAAACTGAACTTTTGACATGTGGGCCTCAAGCTTTTCTTCCCGACACTCTAGGTCAGTGTTAAATGTATTTCTGTTGGAATAGATTTGATTCACAGTGTACTAGGTAATGATGTGCAAGAATATGGCTGAAAACATTATGTTTCATAATGAGTCAAAGAAGCCACACAAAGAAGAATACTATGATTCTAATTAAAGTTCCAGAATAGGAGAAACTAATGTACTGCAATAAAAGTTAGATCATGAAGTGTCTGAAGAAGAAGGGGAGGGAAATTGAGTGCAAAGGGCATCAGTGAAATTTGTGGGGCAACAGAAATATTCTGCTTCTTGATGGGATAGCATTACACAAGAACATGCATGTACCTTAATAAGATCATTGTATTCTTAAATATAATTTTTAATTTTACTTGAAAAAATTATACTACTATGACATTACATTTTAAAAACTAAAGAGATCAATAGTTGTAATAATAGACTAGATTGGAGAATATTTTCTTCTCTTGATTTCAGGACACGCTCAAGCCTCCACAAAGCAGTGGAAAGAACAGGCTCTTATCATGACTGGTTTGGAATAACTCACCATAGGGAGATAATTTATAAAGGTGAGCATATTGACTAAGATATACACTGGAAAGTAGTGTTACACAGATAAATAATCCAAAATACATGAAGACAGCACTTCAACTGCAACATTTTAAACTAAGCATAATGATTTAAAAGTCTTCACATCAGAATTCTGTATTAAGGCTGTGAACAATATGTGTAATTTTAAATAACTGAGCAGATGTTACAGAAATCTCTGATGTAGAAGGCAGAAGATTCCTATGTTTGGGTTTCTGTTACACTATCTCCAACCTTTAGGACCTCACTTTCCTTTTCACTCTATCCAACTCACATTCATCTTTATATTTTAGGACTTTGAAGACTTTGATTAATACAACTTAGTGAGAGCACTAGTCAACCATAACATGCTGTTTTATTTTTTTCTTTGTCTAAACCTTTCTTCCCTCTGTACAGCTTACCAAGATGGAATTTGGGTTCTAATAATCCTGAGACCGACTTCTACTTTTCAACTGTAGATGTTGGACGAGTTACTTAACATATCTAAGCCTCCAATGTCTCATGTGCACGGCGGAGTTCATAATCATTCCTTCTAGGAGGTGAGGACAGGTGTGAAACCCACACCACAGTGCCTCCCACTGGTAGTGTCACCAGCTACAGCCCAGATGCAAGGTCATGTTGAAATACATTGCTTTGTTAAGTGCTTCTAAATTGTTCATCATCTTTATTTCATGGCTTGTTGCCAATAGAGGTATAAGTTAGACAAGTCAAATAAGCACTAATTACATGATATGAATAAAAAGAATAGGTAAAATATTCAAGGTTCAAAGATTTGGCATGCACAGGTTGCAGAACCAGGTGAGAAGCCTGATCTCTCTGTTTACAATTCTTGGTACTCTTCAGCCTGGCCCTAATCTGGGAGCTCTGGAGTATGGACTTAAAGATAATTTGAGGGAGATAAGGCATAAGCATAAAGGAGACATTAAAAGACATTATGGTATTAAAGGAGGACCTAGGTAAAAGTTCTGAGAAATATCAGAGGAAAGTGAATTACATGTGGCCTGGAACCCTGCGGGGGAGAGGCTGCCCCTGGCAAGTGGGACACACCCAGCAGCTGCCCCACCTGTGGTTTCTGGGTTGGTAATGGGAGGAGGGAAAGCAGCCAATGTACTGAGTCCCTTCTGTGTTCTGGGTGTGATGATATATCCTTTGACCCACTCAACAGTGTTGGAAAATTGTTTCTAGTATTCACATTTTAAGAATCAGTAAATTCAGGCTAAGAATGGATGTGTCTTTGTCCATAGCAGGGTCTATGCATGCAAAGTGTAACTGTATCGCTTTACTCCGAAGTCCATTGTTGTTTTGATTTACAGAGAGTAGAGATGTGAGACCAGTGCAATCCACTGGAAGGTAGTGGGCAAGATTCATAAGAAGTAGAGAAGAAAAATAAAAATGTAATTTTTGCTTGTGGCAAAAGAAACTTACTTGGCTCAATGGGAATAAGTTTTGAAAGACACACTGGGTCTGGATCATCACAGAGGTCTCCATCTTCATGGTGATCCTCGTGCTGAGTAGGTAGAGAAGGAGGCGGCGCTGGTCTTGCTGTCTCAGGAGTGGAAAAGCAAGGGGATGGAGGAGGCAGAAGGGGGCAGACAGGCCCACTGTGTGTCTAACATGTAGATAGCAGCTTTTGTCTGCCTTTTTGCTTTTTCATTTCTCTAAAATTGTTTCTGTGCAGTAGTAGCTATTCCTCTGTAATTTGTTTGACTTTCCTTTCCCATATCATAGAAAGGTCCATTTAGTAAAACAATGGAGAAACAGGGGGAGGAGCAAGATGGCAGCCGAATAACAGCTTCCTTGTAACCCAGCATGGTGAGTCCGGGGAGAGGAGACTACAGGCATCTCTGGCTGGTGGGATTGGCCCAGAAACATCCCTTTGGAGACACAGGGAGTCAACGAAGGACTTCTGGATCCCATAAGGAGAACAAAAGCAGTGGAGAACTGGCAAGTGTTTGCCTGTGTTCTTTCAGTGTAATCCCGCCGGCAGCTGTAAGTACAGCAGCTGCGAGATTGCAAACTGGAAAAGCCTTACCTGTGAGCTGTTTGGGTATTTTTTTGGACTTGGCATTCAGTTGAACTACCTTGGGAGAACTTGGGCAAGAGAGTGGGGGACTTTAAGCATTGTCTAGGGCCCCAGACTGAGCCCCCTAATGGAGCTAATACTGTTCCACTGTGGGCCATGCCGAGCCATTGTAGAACTGCCCCAGCAAGCTCCGCCCTCAGGGTTGCAGAGCAAGAGCCCGGCGTGAGTGAGTAATCTAGTGACTGAACAGCCTAAAGGCAGGGACTGATAGGCCTTGCAGCCTTGGCCCTCAGGGACATAGTGTGAGATTGGTTTTGGCACACTGGGTAATTAGATAGCCACTTCAGGAGTGATCCCAGTGACAAGTGCTTTCCAGGGAAAGCTTTGGCTTAGCCCAGGTGGGCAGTTTAAAGTGCCTTTTAAGCCAATTGAGGTGAGACTTAGGCTCTCCACCCTACGTGGTTTGAGAAATCAGCAGTGGCCTACAGTCTCCATCTCTCTA